TGGTTAGCGTATGTAGTAACCACAAGGGAGCGGAAAAGTTCTTAATATTGAGTTTTCTACGGTCAACTGGGTGGGCGTTAGATGTATATATAGAATATTGAACAGAAACCAAGTCCCATTTGGATAGGAATTAGCTTCCCATAACTATAAGTAATAACAAGCCCTCTGAGTTCTAACCAATAAAACAATAACACGCATTATAATAATAACAAAACCCAAAATCCTAGCCCAAGCCCAAAAAACCTAGTTGGTTTAGAGCACGATGCTTAAGCAGCACAGGTATAAGGTGGCGTTTGGGATTGCTGCGCTTAATAAATAAGCAGCTTATAAAAAAAGTTTTGGAAACAAAAGCGTTTGGTAAAACAATTGAAGGCTGCTTATTTTAAAAACTGCGGTGATCCACAGCAGAATCTCGAAGCAGCCAACACGCTGCTTCTTAAAGCTGCTTAAAAAAAAAAACAGCCGGTTCTTTTAAATGAATTTTCACGTTTCCCATAATACCCCTAATAATTTTCTAAATTGATAGCTTTTATCCCTCTTGCAACTCGATTCTTCTTCTTCTCTCTTGCAACTCGATTTCTGTCTGCAACTCGATTCATACCAAAAAAAAACCCAGCCCCTAGCTCTCTACGCTGTTATCTCCACTCCAGCCACAAAAATCCAAACCACAGCTTAAAATAAAAACTCAATCCTAGCTCCCCAGTTTGTGATCTCCACTCCAACCACAAAAGATCCAAACCCCAAATATATCTTCAAACATCTGTATGCGAATTGTGGAGGACCAAAATCGATAGCAATACAGGCATCTACGCTCCTTGATCAACGATTTTCACAAAAAATAGATTCTTGAATCCATCAACAATTCGTTGACCTTCTCTTGGAAACCAAAATCAAGGGAAAGTTGAAACTCATATCAAAACCACAGGAAAACAAAATTTTCATTTTTATTTGATTTCCTTCTTGTTGTTTTCTTTGATGACAACACAGTTTCTATCTGGGTTTGGGTTGAGTTTTTGGTTTTAAAATTCTCGATCTGGGTTTTTTCTCTTGGTGTTTTGGGGCAATGGAGAGAGAGAGAGAGAGAGATGTAGGTGGGTACGGTGTGGGATGGGGTTTTTTTAGGTTACTTTCTTAATTTAATTTTGTTTATATTTTTATATTTTTGGTCACAATTTTTGGAATTGGAACTAATTTTGTTACTTTAAAAATTTAGAATTTGTGGCAAAATAAGTAACAATTTCATCATGATGTCCTTTTTGGTCATTATACATATTAAAAGCACTTTTAATAAAAATTTACCAAACACTTTGACTCTTCACAGCACTTTTTCTAATACAATTTACCAAACGCCTAGCTGTTTTTTTTCACAGCTGTTTATTCTCACAGCACAGCAGAAGCAGTTTTAAAAAAAAGCACAGCAATACCAAACTAGCCCTTCGTGTCTATCTTAAATTAGCTTTAGAACTTTTTTTATTCATGTTTTTCTTGAAGATAGTTGATGGAGAAAAACAGGCTTAATCCCTCTTGCAGGTCCATTGATCCCCTATTTCACACTCAGACAGCCCTTAGAAAGTCATAATAGTAGGAGAAATTTGTGTTGTTCATGCTCAAATAAACTCTACTAACCTTTTATCAGGAAACTAACTGGTCTGTGCTAGTGTGCCAAACGAGTAAGTGAGAAAGTGAGAAGGTAGAAAATATAGGTTAGAAGACGATTGGTGCATGTCTACACTGAAATCGTACTCGATTTGTAATTTTCAGTGATTTGAGATAACACTTTAGCTAGTCTTAGTTGTTATTTTAGCCAGGATTGGATTGATTAGTTATAAGGATTTGGGAAACCTAATAGTGTCCTCCTTCTCTCATGCCACCACCACCACCACAACCATCAATTGTCCTCACCTGGGCTTGGGCCCGATTCTTTGATGGCTCCAAGAGATAACGCAGTAAAGGAAATTAACCTCCAATTGCTCTACGATGAGTGTTTGTGTGTACTCATGATATTGAAAGGTCGAGCACTTTCTACAATAAATGCGGAGCTGAGCAAAAGAAGCAGAAAAAAGAAACTGAAGAACTTGGTTGCCATGTTGGAATTGGACAATTGAAAAACAGAGAGAGAGAGAGAGAGAGAGAGAGAGA